CTGTGATTATTAAGTGAATTTTACTGAGATTATTATGTCCATTCTTCAGATGATCAATTTTGTCTTTTATAACAAAATGACGGTGGAATGTTTGAGAAATCCTTCTGACAAAAAAGCCTGGATAGTATAAATAGTAATATCTCCTTCTCCACCACGGAGAATATTTTCTTATGTTCCAAGATAATAAAGATAACATCTCTCTCTGTGGAGGGGAGGATGCGCAGGTTGCCAGCAGCCCCTTGTGAGATGGGGGTATCATAAGGTCAGTGTTCCTCAGCTGTGACACACACCCAGACTGTGTGCACATGATCCTCCTGCGACTGTCTCCACATCGCCCCTATAAGACCTGGGAGACTAGTGGAACTGCTGATAACATGAAGCTCATGCTGCCTAAATCTGAAAATCTCTCTCAGTCCACTTGAGCTCATTGTCTCCTTACCACCCAGATCTGTTAAAGTGTGAAAAGCCAACCTGGCAGCTGCCACCACACCGCTGCTTAGAAACTGTCTGGCTGACACCAGATAAATACCAACTTATCTGAATGAAAGACATCAGTAAACTACCAGTGTGACCATGCCAGTGTATACTAGTAAAATACCAAGGCTGCTTGTTAGTAATACTGATCATAAATAATGCTTCTTGAGCCTTTACCTTTAGCACTGTCCTGAGTGCTTTGTACACACTTACTCATTTAATCCTTACAATCCTTTGAGAGGTACATCATTTTTATGTACTCATTTTTAACATTAAAAAATGGAGGCAAAAGAGCTTGAGTAACTGTCTCAATGTTTAATAGCTCATAGGTAGTACAGACAAAGCTGAAATCCAGGCAGTCTGGCTCCAGAATTAGCCATTCACTACAATGTGAGTTTTATGTTCTCACCTTCCTATGTGGTGGCAGGATGATACTTACCAACATGTTCTCACCTCTTTGTTCTTCATTGAATTTCTTTGCTTAAATCTTGAAAATCTTTTCTTAAGCTGGAAGTTCAGACAGTAGTCATTTATACAATGACACAACAAACGAGCAAATAAATGTGAAAATTCCTGGTTTTTTTTTTTTCAAGTTTAAACATTTTGGTTCAAGTGAAAGACCCTCCCAAAATTTAGGACGTGCTAAACTCAATAAAATCAAATAAAGATCTTCCTCACGACAAGGTAGAGAAAGCCAAGAGGTGGATGTGAATCAGGAAAGTTTGAGTGTGTTAGTTTGGGGGTCTTCTCCCACGTTCCCGATTTATCTGGGTAAGTTCAGGGTATAGAAAGATATAGAATCTCCTTGGAGAATTCAATGCAGCAGGCAGTCATGGATGCTTCTTGCTGGGGCATGGGAAAGCAACACGGGTCCTAGATTTCTCCTATTTACCACATAAACATTAAGGTCACAGCAGTAGAGTATAGGAGCAGTAAGTAAAGCCTAGGCTGAAAAAGACCTTGAGAAAGTTGCTCTCAGTTTTCTGTGGCTGCAGAGAGCCAGGGAAGAGGATCATAAAGCTTCTCATATACCCCCAAAGGGGTGTGAAAGAGCTGGTGGACCAGAAGAGACAGATG